TGAATTTAGCCTATCCAGGGAGAAAAGTTTACAGTGTTTAAATTGCTAGTTGATGGCTATGTGCTGTGTAAATGCTGAGTATCGATCAAAAATGGATTGTGGAAGTACCGGAGAGGTTAAATATGGAAAAGAAATGCTGTTTACAATTCCTGGATTGGGATCTCCAGGAACGAGTATGGCAGGAATGCAAAAGAGGTGATGGCCCAAAAAGCGAAGGAAGAAAATTTATAATTACAACTTTATAGAATTCGATGCGTGCCACAATAGAACACTACGGTGAATTCGCGAAGTTGCCGCCGGTTGAAGTTTTGGCGACTCTTGGCAACGAAGATTTAACGATCAGGGTAATTGAGCATTTCTGGAACATTTGCTTTTATGAATTTTTTAGAGCTAGAGTTTGAAGTTTAGACTTGGAGGGATTGAGAGGGGGAAAGTGAGTTAAGACGGAGGTAAAAAGACAACTCAGATTAATTCATTTTTTGGGCCCTTGACAATCGATTTGAAGGCACCAGTTCCTTCACGTGAACATTGTAAGAATAAGTTGTTCGTGCAGTCAGATTTTATTTTCTTTCTGAGGTATCCTTCAAAATGAGTAACACTGGCAACTTTACTTCCAAATGCCGGTAACAATCGTGGCCCGGGGGGAGTTTCTTACATTTTTTTTGAGACTGTTAGACAGAGAGATGCATTTTTCAGTTTAATCATCGTCTAAAGACTGCTACTTTCAGCTAAGTGATACCGGGGGCGGAATTTCAAGGAATGCCATCGATCAAATATTTCGATACACTTATACTACAGCACCACCGCCCGATATGGCCGGTTATAATGCACCACTAGTTAGCATGAGAAATTGCATTTTTCCTGCATTTTTTTTTCTCTGAAGTTTTTGATAATATTCATTGAGGAGAGGTAAATGTTTGTATTATTATTTTCAATCATTTATAATGATAATAGCGCTTTATACGAATTACAGGCTGGATTGGGCTATGGTCTCCCATTGTCACGTTTGTACGCCCGTTATTTCCACGGCGATTTGACGGTGATTTCAATGGAAGGCTATGGCACCGAAGCATTCCTCTATGTTAAGGTATTTGCTG